CCCCTGTCTACCCTATTCTCCCACCCCCGAAACCCCTATTACCATCGTTTCCGTAGGGCAAAATGTTGGGACTAGGGGTATATGAGGTGCACTACGTAAACTTATTTTACTGTTTTATTTATTTCAGTTTAATGTAGCTAAGTATATAGTAGTTATTTAAGTAGACCTATCTAAATTTGGCGGTAAAGAACTAGGCTAAAAAATAAACTAAAATAAAACTACAGTAAAACTAATAAAACTAAGAGTAACCACAGGACTAGGGGCTAGGGAAATCTAAGGTGGTAGACCACCTTTATTGTCACCGGTTCGGTAACAGGGTTCATTCGGGTCTAACTAGTAGACTTGTTTTAACGATGAGGAATTTTTTGCTGGTGAAAATTGCTAGATTTATAAACACTGAACGCTGAAGCGTTTTACGCCTCCATCTTGAGACTCCGGTGGGAACCAGAGGATATCCCAATTGTTGGAAGGTCAAAAAGATGCAGATTGATTTTAGATGCAAGCCATATTAAATAGGAGAAGCAGAAGGTAAGTGTTAATGGAAACAAAATCAAACATAATTTTCACATGCTTAGACGTCCTACCCAATTGAACCGCCTTCATCGCCACCAAGCGCCGGAATAACGCCTGTGACTGTTACCTGGCCAGTGCGCCTGATAACCAATCAGAGTGAAGTTAGTGGCCATCCTTGCACTTGCCCAGCCCTTAGAAAAGGTCACTTCGTTTAACACGTCAAACTGCCAGTGCATATTAAGCTTGCATGCCCATGGTCGTCTGCAGGTAGTGGGTGTATGGCGGCAGGACATTTGTTACAAGTACTTTTTGCGTTGGTGAGTGTGGCTTTAGCGCTCCAGCCATTGGTTGGTGTACAGCTGTAGTGACTAGTTCCACACGAAGTGCGTTTGTGAACGGTTGAATTGACTAGCTCACTTCGAAGTGCACTTGTGAACACTTACTGATTTTGGCCTCCAGAACAGCCAATCACAGGTTGACTCACACTACTTATGTGACGACTGCCAAGCAGAAATCATTTCAGAGGCAAGCCGCTGGCTAGTGGTTATGCGGTCGTCTGATAATCAATTTCCTCTTGCCTATTTTACTCCCTTCTGTAGAGAATAAACTCTTCCTTCCACTCTGGCCTTCCCGTGACTTCTCTCTTCTTATAAGGAACTTGGTCTGGAGATCACAGTTGCTAGGGTTTAACTTACTTAACCCACTGCGATACAACTAGTCTGCAATCCGCCATCCTCGGACGTTAGATTTTCGAAATCGCGTGATATGCTTCGGAGGCTAACTCGTTCTTCTTTCAAAACACCAAAAGATTACTCTAAGACCCAAATATACCGTTTTCCAGAACGAAGAGGGTGGCAATGCCTCCGTTCCCGCGATTAGTCATCGAACAGAAAGACTCCAGAGCGCGCACGGTGGCTATCGATTTTTCGTCATATCTGATTGGTCCATTATCGCCGAAACTTTCTCAGCATGCGGACCGAACAAATACATGCAGCCTTTTTGTGCGAGGGCAACTTGCTTTGTGTAAACACACTTCTGCTCGTGGTCGATTGCCTTCTATTCCTCTCTCCCGTGCTAGCTTTGGGCACAACGGTCGGGCAAGCTTACAGTACGCGCCAGAATCCGTGCAACATGCCGACAAATGCGAAAGATTGATACTCTTTCGCTAATCGGCATTGACTAAGGTTGTCATATTGATTATCGTTTAGTCTATTCTGAGGTTATTTCAGTTAAGATAGGATGCGAGCTTTTCATTAAGCTTTGTTCTGACTACTAACAAAGCGTACGTACTGTAAAAAGTAATTGCTTAAATAGTATGCTTATTTATTATTGATTTTGACTGCCTCAATAAATTCAAATTTATTCTATTGAAAACGTATACAAAAAATATTTCTTGTATTCGTTTGGTAGAAAAATTACGCCTTCTTTAAATTTAACACTTAGAGAAAGGCTATCTTTCGGTTTTAAAAAAGCTTCTAAATTGCCTAATAATCTTGAAACCTACTGACTGCTACACTCGAATTCAAGGTTTACGATCCAGGAACTGTGTACATCCTGTTTAAATAAAAGTACGTTTTCATCTATAGTTTGAGGAAGAAGTCACATAGTTCACATAAAATGTTACAATAGGTTTGGAACATGCTTTATACAGTATAGGTAGCATCGATAAATTGACGAATGCGATGTATTATAAATGAACGCATCGCAATCGTAAAAAGCTCATAATTAGAAATATTTCTAAAACCTAACCATACCCTATTTTAAACCATAAAATTTAAAGAAGGCGTAATTTGCTACCAAACGAGTACAAGGAATAATTCTTTCGTATATGTATTCTATAAAATATATTTGAATTTATAAGGGCAGTCAAAATCGATGATAAAAACGCCTACTATTTAAGTAGTTGTTTTTTACAGCATATGCATTTTATTAGCGGTCAGCAATAAGCTGGTTAAAAAGCCGACATCCTCTCATGACTGAAATAACTTCAGAATCGACTACACGATAATCAGTATCACAATCTGAGTCAATGTCAATAAGCGAAAGTGTATAAATCTTTCGCGTATGTTGGCACGTTGCACGAACTCTGGCGCGTACTGTACAGTTCGTGTTAATTTCAAGTACCTGAGTACCACTCATAATAACGAGTGAGCTAGCAAAAAAAACAGGGTCCCTTGACCAGAATCAGAGATTTAAATGCTCTATCTTGATTTCGTAAATTCACCATGTTGGAAAGTATCATTGTCCGGCTTTTCCCGGTCAGGAGTTTTAGCTTTGATTTCTCTAAAATCCGCTTGCTAGCCATGCATGATAGCATACAGGTTCGACTGATTTTTCATGTAAAATGATAATTGGGTTGAGTAAGTTCTTTCAAAAACAGAAGACCAAACTAATCAGAATACCTAGCAGCCTTTTATTTGAGGTCGTTGATGATGATATGCCCTTCCCCTTCTACTTTTTCAGCGTATTTTGAAAATTAAGATAAAGAGGCACTATTCCGGTTAGGATAACTATTGCTCAGACAAAATTTTGGCCTTTCATAATCCGCTTATATTTATTTTTTCCCTGCCAAATATGTAAACAGTATCCTTTAACGATATCTATAGTAAATTGTCTGTCCCATTAACTATCAGCCGAAATTCTGAAATGTGCTTTCGATTCGAAGATAGTAATTAAGTATGTTTGCGATATCTATTAGCATGCGAATTAATCTCAATATATTTCGATCACCACAGGATGCCGGCATTTGAACGAATTTTTTCTTGATCACCAGCAAGAAGTTTATTCGGTAAAAATAGTTACTTAAATTGTACGCCTTTTTCGCATTGATTTTCACTTCCCTAATAAATTAAAATATATTTTATAGAAAAATGCACAAAGATATGCTTTGTGTACTCGTTTGGTAGTAAATTATGCATTCTTCAAATTCGGCAATTTATAAACTTTTTTAAAACCGAAAGCTACCCTTTTTTAAGTATGACATTTGAATAAGGCGTAATTTACTATCACGCGAGCGCAAGAAGGAACAATTTTGTGCATTTTTTTATGACATATACTTTAATTTATTAAGACAGTGAAAATAAATGAGAAAATTCCAAACTACTGATGTAGCCATTTTTAGGGAATACACGTCTTGCTGGTGGTCAAAAGGAAGCTCGTTCAAAGACCGGCATCCTGAGGTGACTGAAATGTATTGAGGTTAAGTCACATGCTAATCAATATTACAATTATAATTAATTGATTTGTTCGAATCGATAGAAAATTTTGGAATTTTGTCTGATATTTCATGAAATAGACAATTTACTATAAATCTAGAAAACTCAGTTAAATTTTTAAAGTCTGTCCTCAACTTTTCTATGAAAAGTCGCAAGTTTTACCCTATATTTTAATTATTTGTTTGGTCATATTCTATCGTGTTCGCACGTGTAGGAACACAATAAAACATTACAAAAACAATATGCAAAGTGGTTTACCGATGGTTTACGATATCACTTTGTCCCTCTCTACTTTGGGTCTCATTTTTCGGGTCCTGAGAGCATCCGTAACAGCTAGCGGTCTTAGACAGATAGTATTGCCGGCCAAGACAAGCGGGAGACTGGAATAGCCGATGTATCCCTTAAGGAAAAGGCTCACTTTTATGCTGTTCACGCGGCCTTACAGTAACAGAAATTTTGGTTCATGAAAGCGCAATTAATTTTTCCCATGAAAGAAGTTCATGCCAGCCTGCATACTCCGCTAAGACAGCTTACAGTTGGCGTCGTTTTCTTTCACATAGGTATTGCCTTAGTGCGTTTACCGCATAGGGTCTAGACTCGCATGCACCAGCCAAGGCTTAGGTAATTACGAAGGTGAGTAATATTATGTTCTCAGAATCTTCTTTATATGAACTAGAGTCCGGGTATGAGTATTTGCGAAATTATTTGAACGTTGTAACTGATATGTTATAAATTTCAATTGCCGATAAAGGCAAAAATGTGAGTCTCCGGAAGTAATTGAGAAGTTAATGTAATCAGTTGGACAATAATATATTTGTCTGACGTTTTGAAATCTTTCGCGAATCCATCATCATCCACCAGGATCTGGAACTCGAGACCGTGAGACTACACCTACGAAGTAAATACGATGGAATGGAGAATCGCATCGGACATGCCCAGCTCCTAGAGATTGTGAATTTTTTTCTCAGGACGTACTTAAGTTTGATGGAACATTCTACGAGCAGGGGAAGAGGACACCAATGGGGTCACCGATTTCGGGACTTATGCCGGAGGCGGCCGTAAAACGGTTTGAGTCACTGGTCTTCAACACCACAGACCGAAATTCTGGCCGCGATATGTGGACGATAGTATCTTCATCATGGAGTGGGATCAGGTGCTGATATTGAAGGACCGTTTCAACAGCGTCTTCCCGGATATACAGTTTACGGCGGAGGAGGAAGAAAACAACTAACGGGCCTTCCTTGATGTTTTCGTCTGCCGCAATGATTGTGGTTGCCTAAAGACCAAAGCGTTCAGGAACCATTCAATCAGCCACAAACTCAGTTGGGTAAGGAGGTTCTGAGACGCACGGAAGTAAACCGGAAGGCAAAATGGTCGAAATGCGATATATTTGACGAGTGCTCAGGCGAAATGGCTACCCGCACAATTCAGTCAGGTAGTGCGTACGCAAACGAGATGAAAAAAAAATCGCACGGACCCCAAATTTTGGCGAGCGATTCCGAACATGAATAGCGTCTCAGAGGTCGTCGGCCGCCCTCTCGTACCACGTAGAGTTGCAGTCGCATACAGATCAGAGGCAACATTAAGGCGTCAGATCATGAAAGCAGAAGACCCACTGCCACGGCAAGAAACAGCGGGAGTCGTCTATAGGATAGAATACTCGGCCACACATTCAAATGTGATGAGGCCAAAGTTCTCGCGAGAGTCGCGGACTACTTGAATCGTGGTTCATGGACCCCCAGCCTATAATAAAGCACAACGACCTGCCGAACCCGTATTTGGTGCCAAGGCTCAGTTTGGTCAAAACAAGTCACCATTTAGAGAACACAGAGGCCAACAAGTCGTCCAACGCCAGCGCCAGGGCGCCGTAGTCATCACACCCAAGCCTACCACACGTAATGAGATTTGAGCAGGTCACGACCGGCATGCCGGGCATCAAGCTATTAGCGCAAAAGCGGGCAATTATATTCGAAAGGGGAGCGTGCTGCAGTTTGGCGACTGCGACATATAAATACTGCAAGTCTCTCTCTATGAGTCGCCCGTTTCAGCTATTGTCTTTGAGCATGGATCAGCGACGGATTTCGAAACGTCGGATGAATGAAGTTCTTGTCCCAGTGACCACATTTACTTGTTCTCAATAAATCTTAATATTCCTATTTTTGGAACACGGCGATTGGCAACTATGCCTAGCAACGAATACTCCGCAGTTTACTACATACAATAACACACGTATTCCATTATAATAAGCCCGCGTTGTTTTATTATCGCATATAATCGCGGACTGCCATGATAATCTTGTGCATGGCTAAATTTACTATCGCTATGTTGGGAAACAGGCCGCAAACTGCAAACCCGCCTACAAGAGCACAAACGAGC